TGGTTTTAATTTTTTTTACTTTTTTGTTTTTGTAAAAAACTTTTTAAAATTTTTATTTATCTTATGTTTTACTTTTTTATATTTGTTTATTTTATTATGTTTGACTTTTTTTATCACTTTTTAATTTTTTAATTTTAATTCTTATTTTTTACTTTTTAAAATTTTTATTTATTTTATTTTTTACTCTTTATCAATTTTTAATTTTCAAAATTTTTTTAAACTTAACTATCTCTTATTATTTTTAACTTATTTTTTTTAATTAGGCCCAGCGGGGAGAGAGACAGCTGGAGGTGGGGGCGGACCATGAAGGGGGGGATGGACCTGCAGGCATATTACAAGTGATCTTGATGGCATCGCTGAGATCACAAAAATTACCCGCTTGGCAGCTGCCCCTCTACTTTCTGCTGCCCCAAGGCCAGGCCTTGTTGGCCTTGTGGGAAATCCGGACCTGGGTACGGGGATAGATTCACTACTTGAATTTTCTTCTGTTGTGTTGGTATATCTATTGGTGGTTGTTCTCTAATGTGGACATCATACTAATTTGATGTAGTAGTGTCAGATATGTCCTTTTCTGGTAGGATTTTATTATATCCATTTTCTTTTTGGAACAATGTGTATACTTTTCCAGTTTGAAAGTCTTGTACATCGCTTAAATATTTGTTTACAAATGTTAATTGTTTCTTTGTGTCATTGCACATTTTGCTAATCTGTTCTCTTAAAATATAAAATCTGGATGAATCCTACATTTTAAAATATTTCTTTGTTCCTCTTCTAGTTTGGCTTACTTTAGCAAAATGTGTTTTTTGTTTTTTTTTTAATCCAAAAGATAATACTACTGGTTCTTAATGTGTTTGTTTTCTGTATTTTACCCCAACTGCCTATTAATGTGGAATTTGCCTTAGGAAAATTGGATCTCATATATATTCTTAAACCTCTTACTGGAATTCCTTCCTTTTAGATAATTTTTTTTTCAGCTGCCTCCCACCATGATCTTGTATTGTATTATACTTCATAGAAACCACTATGGGAATCATTGTGTCGGTGATGTCATAAGAAAAATAATACACAAATATAAAATATAAACAAAAAAAATAGGTATTAGAAATGTTGAATAACTTTTAAAGTGGCTAAAGGTTTGAAATGTACGTTCTCTCTGAATTTATAAAACATTGTTGTTATGAAATTTCTGCATGATGATCACTCTTTATTTTTTTCTCTTTTGCTTAATAGGCTCTACTGACTGAAATGATGGAGAGGTGTAAGAAGCTGGGAAACAAGTAAGTGTTTCAAGTTCAAATGTCTTATAACTAGTTTCATTACCTTATTAATTTACTATATATTAAAATATATTGTTATTAGCTTGTTTCATATTATTGAGATACTGATTTATTATTGTATAGCATTTATTGAAAAGGACACTGCAACCCAATTAGAGAGAGGATAGCCGTTTCATAGATGCATATTCCTGTATGAACTCTAGCTAGTTGCCCCAGTAAAAAAAATAAAACTAATTAACTCACTTGAAGACCAGGGTGTTAAACCCCCTTCCTGGCAAGGCCATTTTTCAGTATTCAGTGCTGTTGAACAATTATTTAGTCATGCAACGCTGTACCAAAATTACATTGATACCATGTTTTTGGGACAGATAGAGGTTTTGTTTGGTAGTATTTAATCACCACTGGGTTTTGTATTTTTTTTTACTGTATTGAGGAAAAATTACCAAAACTTTTGATTGAAAAACATGTTTTCCCTTTGCTAAGCGATGAAACATTGCACATAAATAATCTTTCTTAATAGATTTAGGCCAAAATGTATTCTGCTACATTTCTCTGGTAAAAAAAAAGTGTGTATTAAGTACCGTGTGTGAAAGTTATATAGTCCACAGAGTACAGTATATATATTTGTATCAACACTGACTGCTTGTTGCATTTCTTGAGGCCCTAAAATGCCGGGACAGTAGAAACACCCACAAAATGACCCTATTTTGGAAAGCAGACACTTCAAGGTATCTAATCAGAGGCATGGTAGTTTTTTTGCTCCTTGGATTTTAGGCCACTCTATGCGGCTATGCTGCTAAAAAGTCTCACATGCGTGGTATCCCCATACTCAGGAGGGGTAGCAGAATGTGTTTTTGGGTGTAATTCTAAGAATGCCTATGCTGTGTGTTAAATACATCTCATCAATTGAAAACCTTGTGTAAAAAAAAAAAAATATTGTTTCTACACAAAGTTGTCAATGAATAAGATATATCTAACACACTGCATAGACATCCTTAGAACTACACCCAAAAACACATTCTGCTACTCCTGAGTATGGGGGATACCAGGCATTTTAGACTTTTATGGCAGTCTAGCCACATAAAATGGCCCAAAATCCAAGGAGCACTTTGAGGCTTACAAGGACATGCAGTACATTACGCATCTGATTCCCTGACTACCTATTGCATTTTTGGAGGCCCTGAAGTGCCATGGCAGTAGCAAACCCCACAATATATCCCCATTTTGGAAAGCAGGCACCCCAAGATATTTAATAAGTGGCATTGTCAATTTTTTTAAGATACCATTTTTTGCCCCATTTTTAGAAAATGAAAGACATTTTTTATTTTTTTCTGCACAACATTGTCAATTCAGAAGATATATCTAAGGGCTAATTAACACCATATGCAGTGTGTTCCGGTACGATTCTGGCCGGAATGCACTTCATCGCTTTGCGGCCGGCTCACTTTTTTGCCGGGCTGGAGGGGATGCGGTGGGCCATGTAAGTCAATGGCAACGTAGCCACACCCTCCGGCCGCAATGCGATCGCCCGCATGGGATCGCAAGGCACATTGTGCCTGCAGTGCGATGTGCTTTGCGATCCCGTGCAGGTGATCGCATTGCGGCCGGAGGGCGTGGCTACGGTCCCATTCACTTACATGGCCCACAACGCCCCCTCCAGCCCCATGAACACCCCAAAACGCATTCTGCTAATCCTTCTGAGGATGGGAATACTACCTATGTGAGACTTTTTTTGCTGCCTAGCCTCATGGAGGGGTCCAAAATTCCAAGAAGTACTATGAGGCTTTTTAAAGTGTAGCTTCATCTATAGCAGACCCCATTCCCTCAAGCCAGGCAGGCCTACTGGTACTTGGCTTACCCCAGGAATTTTACACAATTCAATGTTTAGTGGCCAGGTGGTACAGAAAGATGGACAAAAGGTAAACAAAAAAAACAGTATCTGTGGTTCCAGGAGTGCAGCGGTCTCCAGAGGAGATGGCTGGGACTGGTGTTTTGGCTGGAAGGTTTTCAGTTGGACATACAGATGGGTTACTGCTAGGGATGCACCGATACTAGTATCGATATCGGTGCCGATTCCAAGTATTTGGGCAAGTACTCGTACTCGCCCAAATGCTCCGATGCCTAGCACGAGTACTTCCGGTATCAGGAAGCCGGGCAGCGCGTCATTACACGCTGCCCGGTTTCGCGATTGACCGGAAGCTGGCCTCGTGAGGTAAGGTTACCTTACCTTAGTATGTGTAGCCTGTCATCCCCCGGGGCCTCTCCAGCGAGAATGCGGCCTCCGTCTGGTACCCAGCCCGAGCCGTCCAATCAGAAAGCCGGGCGGCGTCTAATGACGCGACGCCCTGCTTTCTGATTGGCCGGGAAGCTGTCTTCATGACAAGAGAGCATGAAGCCGGCCTCCCGGAAAGCAGGGCATCGCATCATTACACAGCGCCCGGCTTCCTGATTGGCCGGCTAGACGGCTCCGGCTGGGTACCGGATGAAGGCCGCGTTCTCACTGGAGAGGCCCCGGGGGATGACAGGCTGCACATACTAAGGTAAGAGGGGACTTTTTTGTTAACCGGGAAGCCGGCTGGCGACTCTTTACAAAACGAATTGTCGCTGAAATTAAGAAATCTCATTATCCTTTTATATCTTGTCCTGGACATCGTAGCAGAATATAGGGGCACATGATGGATTGGGTATGTAGACCTGCATGCAATAAGTTAATTTTTTTGGTGAGTCTCATATTGAGTGTTAGGCCAAGAAAGATTTTAAATTCAGAAACACTCAGAGGTTTCAACTGAAATGGACTGGCATAGGAGGAATAAAGGCTGGTTTGGTCGACAATTAAATTGAATAGGTCTTCAGTAAAAACCAAATACAATAATTTGTTTTGCGGATGGCCAGTAAAGGGGGATGACAGGTGTTGCACCGGAGTGCAAAGTATCTTTTGTGATACACAGTGTCTCTTCCCGTCCCATATAAAATTTAAAACGTCCCTTTGAAAGGATCTAATGTCAGAGGCTGGAATTCTCACTGGTAGGGTGGTGAAATAATACAACAATTTTGACAAAAAGGGCATTTTAACCGAAGTTAATCTTCCTGTAAAGGATAGTCTCAAGGATTTCCATCTTTGTAGTCGAAACCTTAATGACTGAAACAGTGGTTTATAATTGGCTGCATATAAAGAATATACATTATTCGTAACATAGATTCCCAGATATTTAATTTGGTCATTTTTCCAACTATAGGGAAAGGAGGCTTGTAGTGAGGTTAAGGTGGCGGGGGGGTATATTCAATGGAAGCACTTCAGTTTTACCATGGTTCAATTTGGAGCCTGGCAGAGATTTGGCAAGGACCGTAGTGGGGATGTTATAGAGAGAATGACATCATCCGCAAATAATGCTAGTTTAAATTTTTGTGGTCCAAGTGGTATCCCTGAGATGTCTGGTGACTTGCGTATACGAGCTGCTAGGGGTTCCATACATAGAGCATATAAAAGAGGAGACAGAGGGCACCCCTGCCTGGTGCCATTGCGTATTTGGAAGGGTGTGGAAGTTGCTGTTCGTAATTTTATGGATGCCGAAGGGGTTGAATATAGTAAAACAGCAAATAGTATATAGAATATAGAGCTTTAACCGCATGAGCATAAGGGCCTCTGATCCTTATGTGTGCCAATGTCGCATGTAAGAATGGCAAACTAAGCTTATAGAAGGTGTTTTCCGCATCTAAACATATTAATAGTGCTTCAAGTTTCTCCTTGTGTATGATATCTACTAGATCTATAAGTCAGCTTGACGGTTGAGCACAAAACCCTCTTGATCATTATGTACGAGTGCCGGTAAGAGTTGAGCTAGGCGATTTGCTAAGGTTTTCGTGAAGATCTTGAAATCCGAGTTGAGGAGGGCAATGGGTCTATAGTTAGTGCAAAGCTTACTATCCTTATCAGGTTTGGGAAATACCGTTATGTGGGACGACAGAAATGACGATGGTACTATATCCCAGGAAGAAAACCATTAAAGATGTTCTTCATATGTGGGAGAAGGATGTCGGTATACATCTTATAGTATGAGTACGGGAAACCGTCCGGGCCTGGTGATTTACCTTTGGGTAGAGCTCGGATAATCCGAAGTTCTTCTTGACTTTAAATTCTTTATTTGTGGACAAAAAGGGTGGGGTACATAGAAAAGGAGGAACAGTGTCCTCGCCGTCGCCCCCATAGTGGCACGGACCAGCGGGTTCGGCCACGAGGATAGCGGCATCGCCGGAACTATCCACGGTATGCCCCGTAGTGGCAACTGACATCCCTCCTGTTCCAATGCCACCCACAGTTTCTGTTCAAAGTGACAGCACCAGTCTAGCACCACAGATAGGTGGGCTGCTTTGTAGTACAGCGTGGGGTCCGGGAAACCTAAACCCCCTGCCTCCCCCTTTCCGGATAGGATCTGGTGGAGTAAGCGAGCCCGCTTATTCGCCCATAGAAAATTCAAGAAGCTAGATCTACCGTAGTGCGTATTCAAATTCCGCTTGGGAGATCGGGGTCTCCAGGGTCCTAAGTTCTTCTTGAGTAATATCAGCATTTATGGCAGATGAGGTTTAATGTTGATAAATGCAAAGTTATGCACTTTGGGACAAAAAACACGCAAATGGGTTATACAATAATGGGTATGCCGCTAGGGAAGTCTGAAATGGAGAAAGATTTGGGGGTCACTGTAGACCATAAACTCAATAATAGATTACAGTGCCAGGTTGCGGTAAGCAAAGCTAGTAGAGTCCTGTCCTGCATCAAGAAGGGAATGTTTTGCAGGGATAAGTCTATAATATTGCCACTCTACACATCACTGGTTCGGCCTCACCTGGAGTATGCGGTGCAGTTTTGGGCACCGGTACACAGAGGGGATGTCCTTGAACTGGAGAAAGTCCAGCGAAGGGCGACCAAACTCATCAAAGGGATGGAGGACCAGAGCTATGAGACACGGTTACTAAATTTAAATATGTTCACGCTGGAAGTAAGG